ACAGAGAAATCGTGTCTCGAAAAAAAAATCTGTTTTTTGAGATAGTTTAACTATTCTTTCAAGACTGACTCTGAACTGGTCTCAAACAATCCTCCTGCCTCAGTTTCCTGAGGTACTACAGGCAAGCCTCACTACCTCCACCTAAGCGATTTTCAAATCCAAAACCAAGAAATGACTTGACTGGTAAATAAGCAAACTATGAGCCACATCTGTGAAGATAAATATATAACTGGATGATGGTCTTCCTCCTGACTCTCTCATCTGCTCCCCATCTCTCTTCCCTCCCTTTCCTTTTCCCCCTCTTTCTTTGTTCCTCTTTCTCTGCCTTTAATACTAGTGCGTAATAACCCCACGTGGCACTCTGTTTGAAACACACACACACACAAACACACACACAAACACACACAAGCACACACACCTTGCCCCAGAAAAGTCCAATTTTTGGCCAGCACAGTCTGTGCATGTTGACTTGCTCTTTGTCCACGTGGCTGGTGACACGTCTCTCCATATTTTATTCACGCAAGGACAAAATACATGTTCTTTGAACTAACTAATGACAAAATCACATGATAATTGAAGAATCATCTTAGAAATACAGTCCTATTTTGGGACACCAATGAGTCCTGCTCAGGCCTAGCCTCTCTTTGATGGTCACTTCCCCATGGTACCTAGTCTCTCTTTTCTAGGTATAGAGGTTCCTTTTTCTGGCAGTTTGGATGTAGAATGTAGGTTTGTATTGTATCTTCAGACTGAGTGACCAATAGCACTACACTTACCACAAAGGGAGTCCTGCCTTTGTGGTAAGATTCTGGACAGGTGACCAGACTATGCACCTCTGTTTCCTCACCAGAAATATGGGCACAGCAATCAATAGGGTTGGTGTGAAGATACAGTAAGATAAGCCATATGACAGATTCCAGCAAAAGGTCTTCATATAATAGTCATGAGATAGATAGATAGATAGATAGATAGATAGATAGATAGATAGATATAGATATATATACATAAACACATACACACATGTAAACGGAGGCCACTTGTTCATTTCCCGACTGCTCACACCTGAATAATCACACAGAAACTATATTAATTACAACATTGCTTGGCAAATGACTCAAGCATACTTCTAGCTATCTCTTACATCTTGAATTAACCCATTTCTATTAATCTATATATCAGCATAAGGCTGTGGCTTACTGGTAAGGATTCTGGGCATCTTTCTCCTTCGGCAGCTACATGGCATCTCTCTGACTCTGCCTATTCTCTCTATATATCTCTTCCAGCCTGGCTATATTCTGCCCTGCTATAGGCCAAAGCAGCTTCTTTATTAACCAATTGTAATAAAACATATTCATAGCATACAGAGGGAAATCCCATATAATACACATATACACATATTAACATATACACATATGTACATATATGTGTATATGTGTGCCCTCACAGTTACTGCCACCACCCTTAAAGGTAAGCACCATAGATTTGATTTGTTAGTATTTTATTAATATTATTATTTTAAGCAAACTCCCCCCACATATCCTACACTGGCCTCAAACTCACAGTCATCCTACTTTAGTCTCCCAAGTGCTGGGATTACAGGTATGTGCACAACACTCAGCTAGCTTTGCTCATCTTTACATTGTCTAAACTGGGGTCGATTTTGAGGAATGGAGTAAATGAAGTTATTCCTTGTGGTATCTGGCTCCTCACAGAGGCTAGGAACACATGGGTCCTTTTTCTTGCTGGAAAGGAAGGCACTGTGCTGACAGCACTCGAGGAACCACAAGCAGGTAGCAGGACTATAACACACATAACTATTCTTCATGGATGAGAAGCATGGTGTTTCTTTCCCATCCCACTAATGGCGGCAGATAGGAAGCCTTTGAGGATGACTCCAGAGGACCTGCGCTGGCTCAAGTCAGCACCACTAACTTTCTCTTAGTAGCCTTTGAGCATGTTCTCAGGTCTAAGAATGTACTTGGGACTGGGACTAGGAGGAAGGGGACAGGAAAATCAGGTTAGGACAAGACCCCTGAGCACCAGGACCATACCCTGCCTCAAGAAATAACAACTATTGAAGCTTTCCCAGATACTGACTCTGAAGTCCCCAGTGTCCTCTAAAAGAGGAGATAACTCCAAGATCTCTTCAGCTATTTTCTTTCCCAAAGCACACCCATTGTACATTATACACATATAATTAAAAGAAATAAATAACTCGAACTTAGTGGAAGAAGCCAGGAAACTTGGTGGCATTTCCATATAGGTCTCTGTGTTTGGACCTGGCATATCTGGCTTGACAGAGTGCCTTTAGAATGTGGGCAAATCCTCTATGGGTGCCTGTGAATGGGGCCTGTTCTCTGCCTGGCTGCATGGTGCCTGGGGTTGGCCCAAAGGGTTTAAGAGAATGCTAAGCAGCAGTCAGTAATGAAAGGCCACTTCATCAATTCTCACCATGTCTGAGGCTGCCTGTGTGTCATATAACACCACCAATGAGAACCTCCACCAGCCTAGACTTCTTTCATGGGGCCCTTCCTTGAGGTAGCCAAACTTAGGAGAAACCTGACTCCCAGCTATGATAAGAGAGACCTGGAGGGAGACAGTCTTCTCTTCAGTTTTTCGGTCAGCTAATAAAATACTTGCCTAGTCCCGAACCAAATGAGACAACATGTAAGGGGTCTGTGAGACTGTCAAGAGGAAAATGCAATATCCTTGAAGCTAATTGAAGAAGACAGTCCTCGTCTCTTTTTGGCCCATGGAAGCTGGTTTGCTAAAGAAACAAGGCCATGCCCAAGGTCTCCTGGTAGGCAGCAGCTCCCTAGACTCATATACAGTGAGGTTATAAGTCCCAGAAAACACTAGAACAGTCACCCAGCAAAGCACCGCACAATGTAAAAGCTCATGGAAGGGGCTTGATGCTCTCTGATCCTAATGGTTTGAATGTAGGCCATCGTAGCCATAATAATCATTCAAAACAACCCCCACAAACACAGCGCTTGCTACTTGTCACTTGGTATCTATTATTTCACTGACTTCTTGAAAACATCCTTTTGTACTTTGATAACGGTCCATTTTAGCATCACGGAAGCAGGTACAGGCAGGTAAAGTGACATGCCCTGTGATCACACTCACAGGGAGGAGTAGAGCTGCCTGGCACCAGGCTGACTGGATCTAAGGCTCTGTGTCACAAAGTAGCCCTTCTCTGTGGTGACTTTATCTGCGGACTCAATGTGATTTGTCTTCTCTGAAGCTCCCATTGGATCTTAACCTCTCTTGTAAGAGGTACCAAGTGTAGTTAGTCTACTGTGATTACGGGGCGGGGGGGTCCCTGTGATTACAGGGAGATAATTAGGAATTCAATCATGTCATCTGAATCAGTACTGCATGACTGATTAAACTACAGGTGGCTTTATGACAAGGAAAGAAGTCAGTAATATACATATTGTCCTGGTTCCTCGTTGTGTGACACACTGCATCACACTGCCTTGTGTCAATAATAGCGGAAATGGGCCCTTGACCTTGGGTCAGAACTCTACGCCAAAACAAGTATTTTTCTTTTCCTTTTTTGAGACAAGGTCTCATGTACCTAGGCTGGCCTTGAACTCCCTATATAGCAGAGTATGACTTTGAACTCCTGATCTTCCTGTCTCCACCTTCCACATGCTAAGATTGTAAGGATGTGCTACTCCACCTGGTTTTTGTGGTGCTGAAGCTCAAATCCAGGGCTCCAGGCATGCTAGAAACGTACTCTACCAATTGAGCCCCACCCCCAGCACAAATCCCTTTGCTTTGTTACATGCCCAGTCTGTGTCATTATGCTGCGCTCCAAATCTCAGTTCCAGTCACCCAAGCAGTGTTTACTGAGTGGCTTCCATGAATCGGGTGTCGTGAGGAGTGGTTGGAAAACAGCACTCACCAGATTTAGTATCCTTTACCATATCTCTTCCACATCGTTCTGACCCACAAGATTCTCTGAGAAAATCACATCGCTTACCTAGAAAATTAACTAAAGACGCAGATTCTGCAAAGGTCAGCACATCAGATACACACTGATGCCTTGTGTGCTCCAGAAGGAAAAAGACAGGGTGACGGAGTCTGCAAATAGATGTCTTTGCTTATGGTCAGGGGCTTCACATGCCTGCTTTGCATAAATCGCCTCGCTTAGAGGCCATCCGTCTGCCTGTGAAACAAGGCATCCACAGCACGTGGGCCTGGCCACAGAAACAGTGAGCTCCTAACATCAGCAAGGCCTCAGCCCGCATGAACATGGTGAGAAGATAAAAGGAGCCACATTGCCTAACCCCATCAGGCACAGGAGCCACAATGTCTAGAGTCCCTTGCAGAAGTCCAGGAATCATTATTTTAAAACCAACAGATTATGAAACTGATATTCCACATACAAAAAACAATGCATCGCCCAGGTCAAGATTATTTTTGTACAAATGCAATTATAAATTGCAGTTTAAAGGGACCCATGAAGGCAAAAGTGCCTAAGGTCTATGAAAGGCATGGCGTGAGCCCTGATCCATGGCTTCCCCCAAACAAGAATTTAATCGCACATTGTGACATGGCTCTCTTGAGCAATAGACTCCCCTGACTCTGGGACAGGTGGGAGAGAGATGTGGCAAGACTCCTCACAGGGCCTCCCTCCGGCTTTACCCTTGCTTGCCAGACCATCCACTATTGGCTGGCAGGACTCTGGGTTGTCCTTTATCTTATCGTGGATCCTTTGGTGTTCTTGCCCTCAGGCCGGCAGTAATAATGATAGCCCTGGAAGCTGCTCCAAGAGGACAGTGGCAGAGCTCTCAACATCGTGCAGATTAGGAAACTCAGCACTAATGCAATCATGGAAACAGTGATGTAGGTGAGCTCATTTGACTAAGCATTGTCCATTTTACCCTAAATCTCTCCATGATGTTTCTTAGCCACACAGAAAGCCGAGATCACGGAGTACCTCAAAGAGCTGGTCTTTTGGTGAAAGCCTCCTCCCTCCTAACACTCACCATTCCTGAGGATCACGTTTTCACCATGTCTGGAGGAACTCCATCCCTGTGGCCTCTTGAACTTGCTCAGAGCTCTGGAGAAATGCTCGTCCACCACACTGCTGATGTCCCCTTGGAAGTAGGTGAGAAGGACGCACTGGGCATTCCATTGGGTCTTCACTGGTTTTTGCCTGCTTTTGACCATCCGGACACGAGTCTTCTTTGTTTCTTCCATGGTGACTGGAAGATAACACAGGAGATAACTGTGAACCGAATGAAAACTCTCACTGGCCCTATTTTGCTGAGTGGCTCAGCTCAAGTTTGGGTGAATGGTATTCTTTTCTTTCTTTTGCAAATTGGCACTTGTAAGTTTCCGAGGGACATTTTCATATGGATACACAATGTACTTTGACTATGTTGTCCCATTCTTAAGCATATACAGTTTGCTCCTACAAGTACAGGCCCTCATTGGACCCTACAAGGAACCACAGGGTTCTTGAAAAACAGCAAGCCCAATATAATGAGGGTTCAGGAAACAGCATCCCAAAGTTTGGCCAAGCACCGATAGTGGCCTTCTCTGACAAAAGGGGATTATCAAGCAGCCAGACTAGGCAAGCACCAGGAGAGAGAATGTGGCACAGCATTGAGGCCAAGTAACAGAGTGATTTGTCTTCTACAGAAGTACGCTCCTCCCAGATGCATGAGCCAAGGTCAGTTACCACAGTCTAGAGAGAACCAGCTTCTAGACTGCCCAGGGTGTCCAGAATCACCTCAAGCAGAGTCCCTTCGAGAACTTGACCAAGATTTCCAGCCTGTGTGTGCAAGAGAGTAAATTGCACCAAATCTCCCATGAGACCGTCTTGCACAGAACCCTGTCCATCTTCGAAACTAGCAATTACACTAGCACCAGCCTGAAGGTCTTCACACACACACACATATTCGGAACCAAAAAGAGTCCCTGGGACTGCTTCTTTACCTTGAAACTCAACCACACTTGCTGTGTACTCTGGCTAGAGATCTATTTAATCTATCCAACCTTGTGAATTTAACACAGATGTCGAGGGTTTAATAGATTGCCTCTCTGTCTGGTCTGTGAGAGCCTATATGTCATGGAGACGTTCTCCCAAATCTCTTGATGTCTGAGCATGTTTTGGAACTCAGTGAACAGTAGCTGAGTGCTATTCCACGTCCTGGAAGTACAATGCAAGGAAAACATAGACGATTAGGAGGCAGATGGCCTGAGGTTTTCCTCAGTGAACAACCTGGAGGAGGAGGAGGATAGCAAATCCCTGTAGGGTTCCTATTATTCTTAGAAGAATTCGAATAGTGTGAATTCTTCAGCTAGTCTTAGATGGTTCTTTTACAGTTAGACTGTGCTGGGGACATTAGGAAGGAATTTGGCAACAAGCAGGGGATCTTTCTAACTTGTTTTCTTCTGTTTTGCTTTTCAAGACAGGGTTTCTCTGTAGTTTTTGCCTATCCTAGAACTCACTCTGTAGACCAAACTGGCCTCAAATAGGGAACCTTTCTAAACGGCTCTCCTTTGGGATCATTCTGCCCCAGCCATACACACACAAATGCTTCTACATACGCATCAATAACAGTTGTGTTTACAATATCCCCCCAAAGGGAACTGACTAAATAAGTATATTACCAGGAAAATGCCTTTTCTGCGATATACTCATGCCATGAACTATTTATTACTTAGCAAAAAAAAGTAGAGCAAGCTACCACTACACACAACACAGATAAATCTTATTATATTGAGTGAAAAGACCAAATCGAAAATACCACATCTATGGTTTCACATATATGAAAGAAACACAGACAACCTGTCAGAACAGTGGATGCTTGTGGCATAGATACTGAAGAGGAAGGGGTAAGAAGAAACCCTCACCTCTATTGCCAATGTCCCATATCTTTTTCTCCAGTGCACGAAGGTGTCTAGCAAGGTCTCTCTATCAGCCCAGGCTGATCTCAGATGTATACTTCTCTGGTTTCAGACTCCCGAGAATTGGATTATAGGCCCTGAAACACCATGTGCTTGGCCATGTCTCACCTCTGTCTTTGATGCGTGCGGCAGTTTCTATATTTGTCAAAACTCATCATACGTATAGTTCAATAAAAACAATTTAAAAAAAATCATAATATTGTACACTGGAGATCTATTTTACAGCAGGAGAATTATTCCTCGATAAAACTACCATGCATTTTCAGATACTTGGAGTTGTCAATACAAAAAAAGGGGGGGGTTAGGATGATAAAGAAGTGAGTACGTGGAGACAGTAGCATTTTAAAGCTACAGCCTATATAAACACCTGTTTGTGTTGGAAGCTATCCTATATCTCCGCCAGTGTCTTGATCTTCGAAGCAGATATTATCACTCCCATTTTAAAATAAGCAAAGTAGATGTTAGAGAGGGTGAAATAAAGTTAGATCGCGGCAAAGCTGGTATTCAGATTCAGGTCTCTTGGGCTCTAGCCTGGATCTACTTCTAACTATTCTACCTGATGAATGGAAAAGTCTCTCTCCCTCTTCTAGCCTTGGTGTCTCCATCTATTAAATGTGGGGATGGGACAGACCTCTAGTCCTAAAAGGACTGTGAGCCAGGACACTAAGGCAACCATATGTCTTCCCTAATGAGATGCAAGCAAAGCCCCCAGAATTCTCCTTCGGGGCTTTCCTTAAAGGCTCCAGCTGCCTGATGCTGCAGGTGCCGCTTACCTCTGCAGGACAGTCCTTTCAGGCTCTCCCTCGCCAGCAGCCACCCTGCTTGTCTCAGGCTTGACACAGCTTGCAATCTCTTAGCTAATTTGCCCTGAAGCCACACAGAAAGAACTAGCCAGATTCTTGGGATAGCATGGCCACGGCAACATTTCTGGTCTCACTGGGTATAGACTAAGAAAGCACATGGCAAACGACTGTACCAGAGAAAAGCCAGCCATCATCCCAGCTCACTTGGAGAGCTCACACTATAGGCTAGTAGAGCCCTTGAATCGACCACAAATTCTACCACTGCCCCTCTTTCCTCTGCACACACAGGAGTGCATACTCAGCAAGTCTAACTTCTCTGGATCCAGCCTGCAAGGAATTCTCTGGGCTATACTTAACTCCATTCAAAACAGCAATTGATGAATATTTAAATCCAGAGAGTTAATCTGGGTGCTATGATATATCCATGTGGTTCCAGCATGCTGAGAAAATCAGAACCAGAGGACCACTTGAGCTTAAGAGTTTAAGACAAACCTGGGCAACACAGTGAACCCCAGCTTTAAAAAATGAGTAAATTGATTCTAAAGGGATATACATTCTGATAATTGTAATTTAGTTTAATCCTATGAAGAACTAAATTGCACGACATCCCTGTGAAAAACTCGAGAGTCTCATCTTCCAATGAGAGAGGGATGGTCTGACCCGGGTGAAAAAGATACTGTAAAGCCGACTCTAAGAAGACATCAGGAACAAAAATAAAGACCCTGAGTGTTCCAAGCGGACCTTGAAATATTATCCAAACTACTGTAGAACATCTTAGAAGAAGGAACCCAGAGCCAGAAGTCCAGCCTCCAGTCTGTCACATGGACACTCTAAAGACACGTTCACCACATTCCTGCAAAATGCATCAAGTACCACTAAGCTGGGGAGCAGAGTCAGTGATGGTGGTTGCCACAATGACCAACTTGAGTGAAATCTGCTCCCCCAAAAGCCGGATTCAATCTCACTTAGCACAGTATGTCACGACATCCAACTCACTCCCATGTGAATTTCCATCCACCTTCCCACTCGCAAGTTCCCAGCTTCTCTTACCTTAATTCTCTGCTACTATCCGAGACAGCACAATCCTCCCGTTTTGGAGTAGCTCAACAACTGTGGAAGCAGCAGCTGGAGATGCGTACCCTCCCCTTGAAATGCTCTACCCCTCTCTCTGGGGCTGTGGAAGGCGTTCCCTTCTAGCTATCTATTAAGAATGCAGAAAATGCACTCCAGCGAGTCAACCTGGTTGGGCACCTGCAGGAATGAGGAAAAGAGATAGCTATTTTTTATTTGTTCGTTTTTTTTTTTCATTAAAAAGCATGTTGTGGTATTGTCTCCTCAACTGAAAGCCAATTGTTTGCACATAACCACTTTGCGCAGAATCAGGTACATCTAAGACATTGTTGTGGGGATTCCATAAAATTGATGTCACAGCAAATTTCAGGAACTGGGAGTCCACATAGCTTATCTCTAGTTTTTTCCTCTCTCCTTGAAAAACAAGGGGGGTGGGGTCAGGCCAAAACCTGGTCTTGTCACAGCCTTCCTTGGGTTGCAGAGGGAGGGACAGAGTTTTCTGATCCTGCAGTAGATAGAGCAGGGGCTCCTGTCTTTATTTAATTAAGTCAGCAAGCAGCACCTTTTTGGCCTCTGGATCTGTTCTTTGATCCTGTGTTAATCAGTTTTCTGTGAGTGTGGCAAAATACCTCAGTTCTTAGTCTGTGAGCCACCACCCCTTTCTCAGGAGTTATCCTTCGGCTATCCTGAATATCAGCAATTTGCATAACGATTCATAACAGTAGCAGAATTACAGTTATGAGGTAGCAATGAAAATAATTTTATGGCTGGGGGGTCCCCACAACATGAGAACTGTGTTAGAGGGTCACAGCTGAGAAAATGAGGTGAAAGAGATGGCTCAGCTTTTAAGAGCACTGGCTACTCTTCCGGAAAACCTGGGTTCAATTCCTAGCATGCACGTGGCAGCTCACAATTGTCTGTATCTTCGGTTGCAGGGGGTCTGAAACTCTCACACAGACATACATGCAGGCAAAACACCAAAGAACATAAAGTAAATAATTTTTTTTTAAAAAAAGAAGAAGGCTGAGAAGCACTGACTTAAAGGAGTGACTTATTTTGACTGCGCAGCTTCTGAGGTTACAGTCTGACAGAGCAAAACATCATGGGTACGGAACATATGTCAAAGGAACCATCACACCCTGTAGTGACCAAGAAGTAAATAGAAAGAAAGTAATAGGTTTCAATATTCTTTTCACGGGCACACTTCCAATGATCGAACCTCTTTCTACTAGGTCCCATCTCCTAAAGGTTCCACTATCTGCCATTATGTTTTATGCATATATATATATATATAAATCTTTATATATACACATTTTATATATGTATATAAAATACATATCACATACACACATATATGTTATATATCATTATATATACATATCTACAATATGCATTGTAGATATAATTGTA